GTGAGTGCTGATATAATCCTGGACGGATCCAACTATCAACGGCATCAGTCGTCATGTCCTCGGCAACAATGTCCGAAAGGGGTATAATCCATCCATACCTGCAGTCTGGAAGCCAAATGAAGGGAACATCATGAGACATGACCCTAGCAAACATACCCATGCCTCTTGGCCGCCCTCGGGAAAGGCCAAGCTGACGTCGCCATTGGCAGGGTTGTCAGGAACAGCCTCTAGCTCATTGTTATCACTCGAGCTGTGACTCGTCGGTCGGGTCGATCGGCGCATGTTGAGACTAATTTAGGCTTATGAAGCGGATGAATGAGAAAAATCTCGGGAAGTGAGTCGCCGTCACGTCACGTGGTTCTACGCATCATGAGGCGGCCTCCTCTATTGTTCCTATCTTCCGATTGGTTGATACGTGTGAAGCGCGACACAACCAACCACAAGCCAGAACTGGTTTATATTTGAAGACTTGCATTCTACCGTCGCAAACCCCGTACTCATGTAACTTATCTTCTTTCCAATCAACCTTCAGGACAGCGTAGCCATGTTCGATCATACTGTGAAAATCTTACGGCCTTCGCCCAAAATCGAAACCCGTCTCCAGGGAGAGCCCACGGGTCTGGACTCATATACCACCAGGGATGTTGTGCAGGGAAGCGCTTTGATTACTCCGCCTTACGACTTTCCCATTGCAGGGGTAGAAATACACTTACAAGGTATGTGTGGTCATCTGTACCACCAAGATAACTAAGGTTGACTATCAGACAGGAATATCCCAAACTAAGTTTTACCGCGCCATCAATCATGCCAGGTCCAAAGCGCAGCACACTTTTCTGTCTGACCGCCAGCCTACCAACGAGTTTAAATGCACAATTCCAAACGTTTTGAAGAAAGGCCAAGAATACGAATTTCCGTTCTATTTCATCATTCCTGAGCAATTACCGTCGCGATCCTGCAATCACCTTGCACAGAACGAGCCCCTCAAACATTTGCATTCCATGCTTCCATCAAGCTTGGGAGACCCCGGCTGCGAGGCTATTGATGACTACACATCTGACATGGCCCGGATATCATATCGTATCCGAGTGAAGTTGTCGGATCTATCAACAACCAGATGCTCTGACAAGCCTTTGTCAACGGTCACAAAATGTATCCGGGTCACCCCTAAGACTATGGGAGAACCTCCAACAGAAATCATGTGGAGCACACTCTGCTGGACACACGGACAGGTACTTCTCGGAAATGCTCGATTTGGCAATCAGCCAGGTTGGCTGTCTATCGATGTTTTGCAACCAAAACCTATTCAAATACCCAATTCTGGAGCGGAACTCCAGAACAGCGCCTGTACCACAGCAACTATGAAGCTACAATATGTGTCTATTGGACATTCAAATCCACCCAAGCTTGAGTCGATCTCCAGCACGCTCAGAGTCATCACTATGTACAGCGCAACGCCTTGGGAAGACCGTCCAGACACGCTTTGCCAATCTTCGATTTCTCACGGTGGCCGAGGAATTTACAAAGTCGACTTGCCACTGTCAAAGCTAAGTATTGGCACAGTCGAATGGACGAGACAACCTTCCGACAGCTACATACAGGACGGTCGCTCGCACAGCGCAATCGACCCAGCTAGCCTTTCACCCTCTCTGCACAGTGCCTCAATTTTGGTTCCTATCACGCTTCCAAACGTCCACCGATTCGTTCCCACATTCCATTCCTGTTTCATTTCCCGTGTCTATTTGGTCAAGCTTTCGTTGTCTTGTCGAGATGTAGGTTTTCTTACCTCCACTACTTCTCTGCGGGCGCCTATCCAGATAATTCGTTAAATTTTCCTTGTAATTTTGCTACATGAATAAAGCAGGGGCTAATGTATCGATCGTTTTCTCGTCTCCAAAACTTTATGCGTACTTTTTACCTAGATGAAAAATTCACCTCTTCTGAAATACTGCATACTACGGGGATAATTTTAATACATCTTCTCACGTGCTCCGGATAGCCGACTTGATATAGCTAAATTAGTTTAACGGCGATTTATACTCTACCAATCCCATCAAACATGGAACCACCAAAAGCGATACTCCGCCCCACCACCGTCCGTCTCGGAAAGTATACAACGAAGAAGAAATATACTTCATTTGGTACTACCGCGTCATTGATCAGGCATAAATGGTGGGTCGTCCTTGAGAGCTTCAACCGCCAATTCACAAGTCGACCACGCCGTGGCTATCAAGGACTTCAATGGAAGCTCCGAAGATTTATCCAGCAGAAAAAATTGCCAGCTCGCCCGATATCCATTTAATCTTGCCATGCCAGTCCGGGGTTGGGCCAGCGCGCTCGTTTCTTTCCAAGATAATCGATCATACAGCTGCCGCGTGTGTTTTCCTGGGAGTGCTGCATCCATTCGTTTGGCGTGATTCCTCACGTTCTCTGGCAAGCCTTTGCTGGCGACGGCTTGGGACCGTGCGATATTCAGAATGGTTGACTTCGTTCGTTCTGGAGACCTGTACTTGAGGGGTAGCATCTTCGTGGGTCGCGGCCCTGGCCTGCTCTTTCGCCAGGCCCAACAATTGGTTGTCTTCGCTGTCAGGGACCCAAAAGATGTTAATTTGGTTTCCGTGTCTCCGTAGTCTACTATTCAGTTTGTATACTTGGCAGATGTGTTCCTGGCCAGACTGTCGTCGAGGGTTACTCGGCGTGAGAGCCGCCGCTTTGTTGCTCGTGAGCAGCGAGATTCTATACTGCTTCAGTCCTGGTAGTGTGCTCAATGCATGTGCCACCGCAGCCAGTTCCCCGGAGTATGGATTCTGCTCTGCTCTTGCGCCCAGTGTGACCGAGAAGGTCTTCAGTTTTAGTTTTCGATAACGAGGTGGCTGCTTCTCGATCACTCCCCCTAACCCTACCAACTCGTTCCGTGCTAAACTGCTTACCGCAATCTGTATGGTTCCGCCCGCTTCGGTCCGTGTCGCTGGGATTTCATGGACATGGGTCTACACGCGTTCCTCCCATGGGGCCAATGTAAATGGGTTGATAGTCTAGTGTCTCCATCTCGATATCCTTCAGCGTGTCTGCTACTTGATACAATAGAGAACGGTGGTATCTTCTGAATTCTTGATCCGCGCTGTATTCCTGCGGAGAGGATTGGTTTCTGGCAGGGTGTGAATGTCCGTCCACATCTTCACGGCCCGTCTCTAGAACCGGTGTTATATAGTGGCAATGTGGGCCTCCGCCTCCGCTACGCTGGTCGTAACTGTGGAGGGATGTCCCTCCAATCGCTTGCGCTCCTACCCTTTAGAGGCGGTTGATCGGTCCGATGGCCTTATCCTTGAAAGCGTGCATCCAGACATTGGAGGCGTAGTCCACCACCGGGGCCACCGTCGAAGTGAATAGCTGCCTCGCTGTTGCTGGGGATAGACCTTGAATTCGTCGAACTTCCATCGCCGCCTAAAGGCCCTTGGACGCGGCCCTCGCGATATGTTCCTTGTATTTGAATCTCGTGTCTATTAGGACGCCTAGGATCTTGATATGGTCTTTGGGCTCAACGGTTTGTCCCTTGGTCATAAAAGGCTTCTTGTCCAATTTGAAAGCCTTAGGGGAGAAGTGAATGATAGCTGTTTTCTTAGCTTCAAAGTCGCTCCGCTCCTCCTTTCCTAGTCGAGCGCTTCATTAAGCCTTCCCTATTACTCTACGCAGTTGGCCCAGTTACCCACGCGGTAAAGTCATCCACGAAGGCAATCGCCCCTCCCTGGCTGTCGATCGGTCGTTGTACGAGGTCTGCATCAAAGAAGAGGAGTAGGGCCGGGGACAGGGGTGAGCCCTGAGGCAGCACAGCCTATGGGAGGCTCTGGGCCTCAGAAACTTGCCCATTGATTTGGATGGTCGCCATTTGTTCCGAGCAGAACGCCTTAACCCATCGGAGCAGATCCTCCGGTATGCCACGCGCTTTCATCCTCTAGAGTAGTCGTTCTTTGCAGACCCTATTGTAGGCTCCTTTGACATCGAAGCTGATCAAGCTCAACACCCGTCGGCCACGCCATGTCGTGTAGATTTGCTCTTATAAGAGCAAGAGTGCTTGCTCCGCTGACCGCTACTTTCGGGCCTCGAAGTGGCTGGTCGGGAGCAAGCCATGGGTCTCCACCGCGTGTGAGTACCTTTCTACGACCACTGATTCCAGCATTTTGCCCAGTGTCGCCAGAAGTGAAATCGGCCTCTATGCTTTGGCAATGGTGTAGTTTGCTTTATTCGGCTTCTTGAGCGGTATGATCTTCGTGTGTCTCCACTGTCTTGGCAACGTGCCTTTTTCCAGCGACGCTTGGAATAGACCAAGGACATTGTGCTTGACCGTGGGCCACATCATCTTCCAGATTATCGCCGGTAGACCGTCTTCGCCAGGCGCCTTCCAAGATTTCGCCGCCAACAGCTGCCGTTCTACCTCCTCCATGGTGATGGCAGCATCTCTACTGGCGCTCTTTGTGGTCTAGTCCCTTCATCGTCAATGTTGTCCGGCAGGAGCGGAACGAATTTGTCCAGCAATTCTTCGGCTTGCTCCTTATGATAGGTGGTGGTAGTTCCATCTGCTCGGAGGAGCTGCAGGACCTTCCCGAAAGCTGCATCCTCTCCCGACTTCAGATATTTAGCGTCTTTCCATATGTTATACATAGGTTGGGATTATTCTTCAAGCTTCAAGCATACTGGACGAGAAATTTCTCATTATCTATTCAAAGATTGAGGAGCTTGTCCGTGAATGGGGACAATCAAAGCTCCATGGGAAGAGCCTCAACAGCACCCTGGAATTCAGTGTTACGCCATAAGGTTATCCATCAAGCAAACCTGATAGTCACGGGAGTTTCATCTCCATCGAGAAAGAAGCCTCAGCGTCCTACTCCTGCCATTAGTTACTGTTCGGGGCCGTATTTGTCATTTAAGTTCCTAGAAAGGCGATGAAATTGGGTGACTAGTACGTTCACTTTGGAACTATTATCAATTAAGCTACTAGTGCCTTTTCATGGGTTAAGCTCGGTTTGAAGCCATTGAAAAGATATCTTTTCATCCTCTTCCTTGGTTTTGAGTGTCCACCTCCACCGCCGCAGACGGTCCCTGTCCGATAGGTCCAGCTGCTCGACTTCCCGAGGACAGATGCCAACTACTCGAAAGTTCTCTCGCGCCACATTGTCATAGAGATCGGTAACAGCTAGACTTGGATTCAGACCAGTATCGGGAAAATCGCCGCGCTTTGGACTGGCAGGCGGAGGGGCCCTGAAAGAACCTAATAATAGGTTAGCTGTAGAGATCACTGTCGCAAAGCTGAGCCTCCTAGTTAGACCTGAAGTGCAGTACCTCTCATCACCGGAGAATGATTCGCAAAATATTTCGTCACGGCATGCTCGAAGGTCCAACCTGCGCTCGCAGAATTCGTGCCGGGCTTCAATCTTAGTTCTCTTCGTATCGCAGCTCTTGCCTCTCTTTCTCCTTCATCGCACTCGCCGTGCGGATTCCCGATCGCAAAAGCCTTCCCCTTGACACGCCACTGCGATGAAACTTCTTTCAGCCAGAACAGCGCCTCAATTTCATGCTCTGAGGACTGTAGTTGGGACAACTTTTCCATGCGGGCGTCCGTGGTGAAGGTAAACAGGTCGCTTTCAAAGCTCGGTGGGTTCCCTCCGTTGATAACTTGCTCCTGCATGTCGTTTTCACCATTGGGATGGAGCTCAACATCGGGGAAAAAGCCGCGAAAACCACAGATACGAGCGCGCGGAAAGTATTTACCCTCCTCGCTTTGTTCAACAGTTGCAATTGTGAATTCGTATCCGGGCGTTTGGCGTAGCTGGAAATCTAGTAGTTCCCTCCATGGTGCTCGAGGGGGATTGTTCGAAGACATGGTAATTTTGGCTGAAAGAAAAGAGCTTAATTTTTTAGGCAAGAAACCTTTATTCTGATTTGTATCGCGTGTGAACATCGACTTTTTTTTATCCAACACTACGCGAACAACAGTTTATCAACTCCCGGGGTCCGCAGTGGATCCCAAATGTGGGTCTGAAGTCAAAATATTGCGGCCTCTCATTGGACCGGGAGATCGAAATGCGACGCAAGCAATCAGAGCTTATTTCAACGCCCCACATTCATTCTGCCCCCTACATCGTCTGTTCCATTCTTTCTGCCCAGAGATCGGACCTTTTCCAAACTGTACCAGCTAGACGCTTCCAGGCGTACCCTATTCAGGTACTTAGACAAGGTAAGTGGAAGTTCGCTTTTTTAATAGGACCCTCTATGCATGGATCTTGAGGCCAAATGTAAAAGTCACGAGATGTAGGAGACGGCTATACCGAGCGGGAGATTATGGCAGGTTTCATGGAACGATCTACAGTGTGACTGCGTTCTGAGCCTTACACACAGTACCTAGCGGTGGCAAGTCACTCCAGTCGACAACTCCGAAGACGCTAATCGGGTTTTATTCGGCAAACTACCTGTCGGATTGGTCACTGTGACGCTTTCGCGGAAGGCACTCTCTCTTAGATTGGCAACGGAGATACAGAGTAGAAGCTAATGTTTAGTCACTCGGCATCCTCTTCATAATGCAAAAGTGACAGCATAAAATATGGTGTCAAGGCTCCTAACAAGAATTGTCCAGGTAAGCCGGGCAAGCATAATACAAACCCAATTTGCAATTAGAAATCCTTGTTTGAACTATTTCTTCATAACGTTCATATTAAGATGAATTGTTTTTGACTGAAGATAGTTCTTAAGGCCCTCAAGCCCCAGTTCGCGTCCATACCCACTCTGCTTCCAGCCGCCAAAGGGTGTTTGCTGGTTTGTAGCAAATGCGCCGTTAATGCCGACGGCTCCTGACTGTATCTGCCCGGCGATGCGAAGTGCTCGGGCAACATCTGATGTATAAACGCTCGCTAAGAACTGTCAGCCAATGTTTCGAAAATGGGGAGTAGTTACTTACATCCTAGACCGTAGAGTGTATCGTTCGCGAGCTCGATGGCCTCTTCCTCGGTCTTGAATGTCTTCAGGACAACAACCGGGCCGAAGATTTCTTCTTTCCACACCTTGCTGTTCTGGTCAGGTCCAAGCAGAACAGTCGGCTGGACGAATGTTCCTTTAGTTCCATGCTTCCCCCCTCCGACCAGCGCCTCGATGCCTTCTTCCTTGCTTTGGCGGAGATACTCCATGACATGATTGAAGTGCATTTGATCGGCTAGTGGGCCAAAATCAGTTGTGGTCAATTGTGGATCACCCATCCTCTGAGCTGCATCTTCAAATGCTATCTGGATCGCCTTAATGAACTCAATGGCGACACTCGCCTGAACTAGAACTCGGGATGCCGAAAAGCAAATCTGGCCCGAGTTGCGCAGGAAGCCATCGCAGCAGTGAGCCACTGCATTTGGAATATCTGCGTCGTCGAAGATCAACGCGGGTGATTTTCCACCAAGCTCCAGTGTGACTTTCTTGAGATTGGATTTGGCTGCTGCGATTTGCACTGCACGCCCTGCAGCCGTAGACCCAGTGAAGGCAATTTTTGCAATTTCCATATTACCAGAAAGGAGCGCGCCGACTTTTCCATCGCCGGTGAGTATGTTAATAACTCCTGCGGGAAAACCCGCTCTCTGGATCAAAGCACCGTACTGCGCGATAGATATCGGGGATTTCTCACTTGATTTGAGAACGAAGGTGTTTCCAGCAGCCATGGCCGGTGCCATTTTCCACGCAGACAGCACATGAGAAGCGTTCCATGCGCAAATACCGGCGCAGACGCCGAGCGGCTCGTACTGAACGATCTTGTATGTGCCGTCGCCATCCGGAGGGTAAGCCTCACCACCGACCTTTCCTGCATAACCAGCGTCATACCTCCATACGCCAGCAGATGCAAGAATCATTCGCCTAGCTAGTGAGATGGGCTGTCCCATTGCGATAGTCTCAAGGCGTGCCAAATTGTCAGCATTGGCCTCTAGGAGCTCTGCAAATTTGACCATTGTTTTCCCTCGCGCTGTGGCGGGGGTATTCTTCCAGGAGGGAAAGGCAGCTTTGGCAGCTTCCACTGCTGTTTCCACGTCATCCTCGCTAGCGACTTGCATGTCTTCCACGACTGTCGAGCCATCGTGAGGGTTGATGATTTTCAACGCTGCCCCAGTACTCGAGGGGACATACTGTCTTCGCTTAGTTAGTTGAAACGAACCTGAATGAATGTTCTTACCTGTCCATTGATGAAAAGGTTCTTTTGGAAAGACATGGTTGTGATCCCAATGCAAAGCAAAACTGGTCAAGGGGTAGTTTAGAGGTTAGAAGAAAAAAGCGAAGGGGAAGACTTAACAGAGTAAGAGAAACTGGCGTGCAGCCCATCGATAAATATCCGAGACGTGTCGGGTCGTCATCAAGTGGATAATCGAATAATCGCAATCATTTGTTTCCGAGTCACGGCTCAAGGTGGACTTCATGCGGGGGTAGCAAGCGAGGATTTGACATTTTCTCCAGATGATAGACCTTCGGGGTCCCAAATGAGGTGTCGGCTCGAGTTGACCTCGTGCGAAGGTGTGATATCCGTAGCGAAGATCCCAATCGAAGTCTTTCGAGATAAATCTCCGGGATGATCTATGGGTGATGGCTGGGGAATAGAAGCGTTATCCGAGCCGGCCAATCAAGGGCTATACTTGTAGTTCGATCTAGAGGCCCTTATGGAGTGGGTCATTCAAGGTTATTATGATCTATAGGTGGTCTAACTACCTAATGTACCTAGGTAGGCCAATCATTCACCCCCATTACTATATCCAATCCGAGTGGCAGACTATTCGTGGATAGGATACCTGGTAGTCCGAGTGATCCAATAGGCACCCTAGTCATTTAACACTATTGTACAATTGCCCCAACCAAATCGCAAAATGGGAGATCTTCATATGGCTTTCTTTCTGCAAGCAATGTTAACCTTCTGTGCAATTCCATGGTCTAACTAGATATGTACCTTGGTATCTGGCCTACCTCATAGGGACAACACGCTACGGATTACGATCCATTCGGTATACAGACCTCAACAACACGCCGTTCTCCTATCTAGTATAATTCAAACTTTCAAGAGAAAAGCGCGGTCAGACAAAGAAGGGTTTTGCTCTATCTCTTTGACTATACCAATCCTATTGAAGGCCAAGGAAATCAGATGCGTCCTGCAACTTGGCCATGTCCTCGTCGCTCTTGTTCCAAAATCATTCCGCGCCTGCCACCTCGTGTTCCGTCATCCGTTCCTTGGAATGTGTTGGGAGCATCGGTCTTCCATCGCCACAGATCTTGCAGCTCCGGATCGAGTTCCCCTTCGATGGCGTCTGCAATCTTATCTCCGATGATGGGGAAAACCTTGAAAGCGTGGCCGCTGTCACCAGTCGCGAGGAAAAGGCCAGATGAGTGTGGAACGTAGTCGACAAGGAAATCACCGGTCGGTCTATATAGTAGTGTTAGAATTGAGGTTGTAAGGTTGCGTAAATAAAGTAACATACGTGTCACAATACCAGCACACCCTAGTTTTCGAGAAGCTCCGATTTTTCCAGCTTGGGAACATCTCAAGCAGGAAGTCCTTGCAAGCCTTCTCTGCTTCCGCGGGGATGGGCAGGTCGGTGCGCGGCGCACTGACGGTGGTTTCGACGAATTGGTTTGGATTCTCCGGTGTCGGTCGCGGAATAGTCATCTTTGTCGGGTTTTGGTAACCGAATCCGTGACGGCCCATCTTGAGCTCATTGTCATGGGGAGGAAGCATGAACATGCCTCGGCTGACATTGAAATAGATCGGACTTGCGTCTAAGGCCTTTTGTTCGAAAGTGCTAATGGGCATATATGCCAGAACTTGGCCTGTAGCAGCGGCACGCCCCTGAACATCGACCAGAGACGGTGTCCACGCGCCCGCAGCAACAATGACTAGGTCTGCATCGACACAAGAACCGTCAAGAAGCTCCACACCGGTACAGCGAACCCCGCCACCGAGGCGTTTGCCATTGGTCTGATAGAGCAGTTGCTTCACCCGAGTGTTGGTTCGCACTTTGAAACGATCTCCCCCGAGGCGCCGGGCTTTCTGATACGCATATCTGACACAGGCCTCGGCGTTGACCCAGCCACACTGATCGTTGACATAGCCAAAATTGCCACTGCATCCGGGGGCGAGGGACTCTCTAGCGACTGCATTCCGATCAGAAAGCTCTCGGAGGTCCTGCGGCTTGAACGCGTATTCGCCCGATTCTGCGAGCTCTTTCAGGTTGTTCAGACTTTCCTCCAAATAGCCATCAACGTGGCCTTCCGTCCCAGGCTCAGCGGTCAGGAGAAGTTTGGCGTCGTGGTATCTTCCTTCACCACCCCATCCGTCGTGCGAGACATCCTGCCACTTTTCCCGTGCGGCCGTCACCAGCCTGGTGTAGGGCTTGATTGCATAGTCGGCACGCAGAATGCGGCTTGTGTCCACAGAAGCACCCTGTCCGTTTGGCACAGCGGGGGCGGCCTCCAGGATAGTGATGGAGGAGTTGGAATATTGGGGACGTTGCACGAGGGCACAAGCCGTGCTGAGCCCCAATACACCGCCACCTATAATGACGATTTCAGAAGGAGTAGAGGATAATTTCGACATGATGAGAGCCCCTCAAGGATGGTTGAATCCAACAGACGTACCGGACGTAGACCTATGCAGGGGACTTATGTATGCGGCATTGGCAATCGATCTGGTGTCGCCAATCGTTGCTTCCAACGGTTCTGATTCATCGCGTCGCTACGGCACATCCCGGGCCAATGAGAAGCGTGGGATTCATAGCGATCTTTATCAACGGAGAAATTAAGCTCGCGCCCTGTGAACCACATTCGATGTCACCCCAGAGCTAAGAATGCGGGGTTTTGGGGCTGGGTCGCACTTTTCGTCTCGAGGTAGAATGCTCCGAAGATAAACAGAAAAGCAAATTATAGTCACTTGGACCATTTTGGAGTCAAACCCTTGGAACCATCCATACCTGGGTACCTGGTAGACCACTGGGCAGTTTCGCCGCTCCTTAGTCAGCACCGCTGGCGTCCAACGGGTGTCGCCACTCCGAGACGTCGCTCGCTGCGTTGATCACTCCCGACTTTCCCCTGCCTGCACGAACCCATCTGGATTCCGAGCGTGCAACTCGAAATGCCCGCTGCTCGCTCAGCCGTCGTGAGACCTGGTCGCAAGACCCGGAGCGGCTGCTTCACCTGCAAGTACGCTATCCTGAATTAACCCTTTTGGCCTATCACTGACAGTCCTTAGGTCCCGGTGCGTGTACTCATTGAATCGAGGGGAGGCCCGGACACTAACAATTTATTCTTAGACATGTCAAATGTGATGAACAGAAACCGTCCTGTCTACGCTGCGTAGCCACGCAAAGGATCTGCGAGGGCTACCCGGCCCCAGTTAGCCGCAACCTGTCCCCTGACTGCCTGAGCGACGAAGAGCGCCGAGCTTTTTCGTATTTTCGCAGCCGAACTGCCCATCGGATTTTTGGCTATCGGGATGCCAGCAATTGGATTTCCATCCTTCTTCAGCTCGGCCATAGTGAAGCACCGGTCAAGCATGCCCTGACGGCGTTAGCTTCCTTCCATGAAAGTCAAGAACCAGTCGATGTCTGTGCTTCAATTCGCCGATCAGAAAAGCAGGCCCAGATCATGGCCCAGATGCTGGCTCTGAAACATTATACGGCCGCAATTAAATCTATTCAGACCGAGTCTCCTAACATGTCATCACGACCCGATATCACCATGACCCTCTGTCTCCTTTTCATCTGCTTCGAACAATTTCGAAGCGGTGATGCTGCATGTTTACTCCATCTCACAGCCGGTTTGAGACTGCTCTATTGGTGGAGGTATCGCACCAACGCCTACAACAAACTGCAAGAGTATTCTCGCCCCACCTTGGACTTTATCAACAACCAAATAACACCGACATTCCAACGCTTACGGGTGCAATTCTCTATATGTATGGATTCTCGCCACACATTAATTAACCTTGGCGTTCCGCTATGTCTACCATCTCCTAAAATCCCTCCATTATATCCTTCCCTCAATTCTGCGCGGAACGATTTTGATCGAGAGATGAATTACGTCTTTTCCTACCTCGAGCGGGATCAGCAGACCTCAGATGGCCAATTACCATCGCAACCTCCTATCACCGTTTTACGTCAGTGGAAAGCAGCTTTAGACGCCTCCGATTTCTCGGCCGAGTCCCCAATCTTACGAGAATGCACACGAAAATTGCTAGATCTATACTTCTATACCTGTTCTATTATTGCCGAAACCTATCATTCGGAATTTGAGAGTATTTTCGATCATTATACCGACCGTTTCCAAACCATTGTCGACCTCGCCGAGAGCGTGACGGAGATGTGGAAGAGAGAATCGCAGGCATTTAGCCTACTTTTTAGCTTCGATCTTGGAATCACACCCCCAATGTTCCTCGCAGCCTCCCGCTGCCGTCATCCCCTTATCCGTAGGAAGGCTGTTTCCTTGATGCTCCAGTCTCCATTCTACCACGGTGCTTGGCAGGACCGATATTCGGGACTCTGTGCGCAGCGAATGATCGAGATCGAAGAGCAAAATGTCGGAATCATTGTAGATCACATCAATGTAACTGAGAACCAACGGATACGGAAGGTTTCCGCGGACCTTCAGGAGGAAGGATCCAAAATCATGATGCGATTTATTCGATGGCCGTTCGCGCCAGATTCCCCGGTATGCACCACTTTTGTGCCGTTGACATCTTGAGGTCTGTCTGAGCGGTTGTGTGGCAGATTATGAATAATAGGCGGGGGATGTATAGCATGGAAAACAGGATTGGACATGCGCAAGACCGGATTATGAAGATAATAGCAATATTGAATCAAGATTGGATCGGCGAATTTACCATATTGTGCTAGGGACTTGATGCTAGGAACTTGGTCCATTGGCCTGTTCGTGATTCAAATTAAACAAATAGCACGACATTGCTAGCTGCGGGTATGATCGGAGGCGAGATGAATGCTGCACTTCGGCGAATGTATCTTAATCGGCGTGAGACACCTTTGGCGATGATGGGATGGCATGATAACAGAAAGTGATCCATGTCCGTAGATCAGCGATGAACATGGGGAGGCAAGGGGAGGGCCCATGACGGAGGTCATGATAGGCTCTATATTATGCGTTGCGCATTGACCAATCGCAGCCCTCGTTCACAGTAGAGTCGCGCCAGCGGATGGAGTACGGAGCGAAAACGAATGGCTGCGCCGCCGGATCAAAAGGTGGAGAGCTCGGATTCGAAACGTTTGGAGCCTAATTACCCCTCTACTCTGCTAAGGATAGTCCATGATGTGATAATCGGGCATCTGGTTGCTGGCTGCTCACACGAAAGCCCGATAGAACCAATTAGGGGAGATTCAGATAGAACTCTACACTAGACCCAGGGATGTATATTTAAAGAGAGTCGATTCCAGCGAAGTAGAGACATCAATCAACACACGAACACAATATTTTCAACTCTGCGAGAATCTTTCCACCGAAAAACTTTCCACCAATATATTCATCATGTCTGTCGAGACTTTCTTCAACAAGGACGGTGTCCATCGTAAGTCACTCATTACCTCGGCTCAAGATCACCATTTGCTAACGATTGCATAGCTATTGGCCCTTACGTGAGTTCTGATTTTGCAGCTATTGCAGCAATTGTGGTCTCCTAGATGAGTCTCTAACATGTGTTGTCATTCAGTCTCAAGTTACCCGCGGTGGTGGTTTCGTCTTCCTCGCTGGCCAAGTCCCCACCGATAGTGCTGCTAAGCCTGTTGGAAACAACACCACCGAGAAGGCCCGTCGTATGTGCCAGAACGCTCAGCTCATGCTCGAGACCGCTGGCTCTAGCCTCGATAAGGTTCTCAAGATCACCGTAAGTAGAGCAAGCATGCGTGCATGTATCGAATTCAGAGACTGATGAAGCGTATCTAGATCTACTTCTCCGACATTGATCGCGACTTTGAAGCAGTCAACAAGGTCTTCGGCGAGTTCTTCACCTCGAAGCCCGCACGTACCTCTGTCCAGGTTGCACGGCTCCCTCTCAACCTTGAGTTCGAGATGGATGTCACCGCTCTGGCTTAAAGGATCAAGGTTGAAATTCGAGGTGTGTAAGAAGTGACGAGGCCGTTCGATAGAATTTTAGAAGTCCGAATACCTAGTCTCTCCCAAAATACACAGAATTTGTCAATCATACGATTTTTTTTCTAGACGCCCAAGTGGATTTTCCAGAACTCCAAGGTTCTCCGAGATGTATAAAGATTGAGCAATACGTCTATAAATATCCCGTCTAGGGAGGATTTCTCCGATGTGTATTTACCCATGGATATAAACACATAATCCATCACATTTCCAAAATAGCTATACATCTATGGTTTGAATTATAAGGAATAGCCACGATACATTCTGACCTCAACCTACCTTTAATCACACTCTTTCGATCTCAATTAAGTTGATAGTGCTCCAATTTCACACATTATAAATGGCTGTAAGGGGTAGCAAATTTGCAAAAAAGAATGAACACAGAAAATAAAATTCTTATCCTGGAATGAGAGGAGAGTACAGTTAGTGTGATAGACTCCATAACAATGTGCATGAAGTCCACCTCTTCTCTGGACAAGTGTAGTGGCTAGAGACTGGTGCCTTCACACAAAGATAGCAAATATGGAAAAGAAAAGTTGCAAAGCGGAAACTGAGTGTAGCAGCGTGGTAAGCGTGTGACTGGATTAGAACATGATGGAATATAATATGGCAATATTCCACTAGACCACAAAAGCGAAGGCTCCTGTTGAGGACCTAGGGAAGCCCATATCCCGGTTCGACAAAACAGTCAACATATATCCAAAAGCCTACCTACGTACATAGTATGTACGTGCTTGATGTCCCATGCCATTCGGCATTCTCTTTCGGTTTAGTGCTCCTTCTATGCCGCTTTTTGTTGCGCAAACCTGAGCCCCTGAGTCGCTTTACAATATACGTCCCTACACTATACAGAGTACTAATTCGACATTTTCTCCAGGGCTCATTTTCTTATTTATCTCTTACCTAAGTTGTACGTATGTTAGAATAACTACCTTATACTGCTCTGGAACTTCAGCGAGGTAAAATCATCGCTGTCTTAAAATGGTGCATGATTTGGCTTTGTATGTAATACCCTAGCTTACCTAGGTGAATTTTGTGCTCTGCAAGTTCATTGCAAGTCTGGATTCAGAAATAGATCGGACGATATGGACTAATTACGTTTCATGATTTCACGAATTGCGTATACTCGAGAGAGTATTCCGTATAGTCTGAGAGTTACTTATGCATGATCGATAAATTTATGAAAATAACAGTACATGCTAAGAACCTGCTAGACGTAAAAAAGCCTACTTGGTCAACCAATGATATGTCCGTTATCTTGTATGGCCCCGTACGTCCTAGCGTTCTTTCGATTTTTAACTTTATGCTAGACCGCGAACCCCTATTTCTCTAAAGACCAACAATGGGAATAGTTATATAAGGGTAGCAAACTTGCAATCTGGACTTGGAAATAATGACTCTGCAACATAAGTCGTAGTTGCGAGAATCGAGCCTGGATCAACAGCTAAGGCCCCTCGACGTTGAAGAAATGGCGGCCTTATGGCGCCTCCTCAGAGCATTTCCACCAGAAAGTCCACCACCGCTTGGTGGGAGTGACGATGTCTATCCCGTTCACATGCTAGACGACACGAAGACGCTGCGGGGCATCGTCGTCACATGGACCCTGCGCTTTAACGATGTGCTAAATGCGGACAGCCTGCACGCTTCGCTGTCCAAATTGCTGGAGATTGGAGACTGGAGGAAGCTCGGCGGTCGGCTGAGGTTAAAGGTTAGCTTGTCATCCTGATTGTCGGCGACCAATCAATAGCTGCTGACCCGCTAGCAGAATGGAGAGCTGGAGATCCATGTCCCGCGGCCCTTCACGGAGGAACGTCCTGCGGTGTACTACACCCACCAAGCCCTAGCCGTAGATATCGAAGACCATCAACTGGCAAAGACTCTTCCCAAAGCTACCGAGGCCCCATCCATCCAGCCTGGGCCTCAGGAATATCGAGTATTTGCAGCTCGGGAAGATGCGCCGGCGACACTCGAAGACTTTATCTACAAGGACACGCCCCAGCTGTCGCTCCACATAACTTCATTCAACGATGCGACGCTCGTGGGTCTCTCATGGCCGCACACACTTATGGATGTCATGGGTCAGCAGGCTCTCCTTCGAGGCTGGTCTCTTGTGCTAGCTGGCCGGGAGTCGGAAGTGCCGCCTATGCTCGGAGCACGAGAGGACGCCGTGTGCGTAGCGGCAGATTCGCCCGAGGAGCCGGAGGAGTTTAAGGTAAAAGAGAAGCGGCTGAGGGGATGGGGTATGCTCGTGTTCGGGTCTCGATTCGTGTGGGATATGCTGTGGAACCAGATTGTTGAGACCCGCACCATCTTCCTGCCCAAGAGGGTGGTGAACGAGCTGAGACGCCAGGCACAAGACGACTTGGCTGTTCAGGACATGGGAGAGGTGAAGCCATTTATAAGCGAGGGTGACGTGCTGACGGCATGGGCAGCGCGCGCTGTGGCATGCTCCCTGCCGCAACCACGGCCAGTGACGCTACTCCACGCGCTCAACGCACGGTTTCGGCTCTCGTCCTTGGTTCAGGCCTCCGGTGTTTACGTCCAGAACATGGCGGTGGCAGCCTTCACGTTCTTGTCCCCCGAGATCGCGACAGGCCCTCTGGGACCCATCGCTCTGGAGAACCGTCGCCATTTAATGGAGCAATCAACAGAGGCTCAAGTGGTGGCCTTCCTGCGCGAGTTGCGACGGGGCTCCAAGGCCGGCAGCGACCCGGCGTTACTCTGCGGTGAGTCTAACGCCGTACTAATACCTTTCACCAATTGGACAAGAGCCGATTTCTTCAAGGTGGTGGACTTTAGCCCTGCAATTTTGCGTGTTGGCGAAACGGGCCAATCGAGAAGCAACCCGCCCGGCACCATGGTGTTTCACCACGCGCAATCGATGCGACAAAGTCCGGCAGCCAGGAACGTGTTCGTGGTGCTGGGCAAGGACAACAACGATAACTACTGGGTGACCGGAGTCCTGCTGCCCTCAGCCTGGGCGAAGATCGAAGAGGAACTAAATAGGATGTGGCGACAGCGCTAACAATATGGTGTTGAATTTTTGGATAGTGATCTGTAAAGCACATATAATAAGAGCTTGATTGTCTACTAAGCAGTGTGAAATGAGAAGTGTGAATTGTCTTGAGTCTCAAAATTTGAAAATTAGAGGGCCTTTATGCGAACGCCTTGGAATTCGTACATTTATTACTATGGGTCCCATATACTATAGAGATCCCGCCGTGCATTCTCAGGCAGAGACTTCCTAGGAGCTGAGAAGTATAGGGCGCCTATCCCGATGAGGTGTACTCCGTAGCTACTCCAAGCATGAGGATGATCGTATCTTCAACAGACACGATTCCAATCTTGGAAGGTTTGAAGTGATATCCTTGGTTAGCGGCACCACTATGAGGAGTACCTTCTATTGGCCTGTTCGCAATGAAATTGATGTGGCCAATAGAAGAATAGGTGGGTAATAGGTGGGTTCAAGAGGGGATGCCGCGTAGCGCGTGCCTAATTATTAGTCGATACGATTAGCTGTATGGAGTAAAATAACACGCGAAACTTATACCACTGTACCCCGTACGGAGTATCTTACGATCTAT